AAGAAGGCAGAATTAGTATGCTATAAAATTTAATTTTGTGCGCTAGTAGTGTGCAAAAAAAATGATTCAAGCACTGTTGGACAAAAAAGAAATAGATACCTCTAGAGGCAAGCTGAGATCAGAGAGGAGGGAGAAGGAGATGATGAGAGTGAAAATGTATAACAGACCATACATTCTGTAGTCCAACAGTGATACTACTAAGCTTGAAGTACAGCATAGCTGAATTAGATCTTAAAGATCACGTTAACTTTAGTGAGATGCCATTCTGAATGGTTCATTAAGTAATTGATATTGACATTTTGGTAAGTAATTAATACTGAATTCCATATAAAATGGCTTAACTATTAGGATTTTATTTCTTTAGATGGGATGACATAGTTATTAAATGTTAACACTGCTATTAATTCCTCTCAATTGGACTATAAGAAAAAAATATGCATTTTATAGAAATTGGGAGCAATCATACCATCTATTTTTTATTTCTTATATAATTCAGTTTTGGATTGATAGGGGGAAGAGACAGGACTGAGATGGTGTCTTATTGTAGGCAATTGTACTACAGTGATAAGTTACATTCTACCAGGCTTCATGTTGAAAAATAAGAAAAGACAGGAACAATTTCTAGTGATATAGTATAGTTTCAAGAAGAGTATAAATTGATAATTTTCTCCCTTTCAGAGTTGTAATGAAGCTCTTCAAGGCAATACTCCTTACTGCAGAAATACTTTGTTCTCCATGAGTAGGAAAAGTTAAGAGGGTGAAATGATTGTCTTTTCCAAGTTCCAATCCAGCAGAACGTTGACATAAATAATCAGCACTAAGCTATTCCTTTTATTGTATTTGCATTCAGTGCAGACCTTAGGCTGTGATATGAATGAAATGTAAGCATACATTCGGAATAAATATCAACCTCTAAATATTTAGTATTACCAATTCTGGATTAAAAAAAAAAAAACAAAACAAGAGATTAAAACCATAAATACCATAAATATGACATTTCTCACTGAAGAACTCCTTCCTTCAAAATGCAAGAAGAAAAAAAAAAGAAAAGAAGCTTGTCTGACTTGCATTTACCCTTAGAGCCTTTGCTTACAGACCCTTGCAAGCTTTATTCCTAAAGGAATTACTGGACTGGAAATACTAAAGCAGCTCCTAGTACCAAAGAACTGCAGTTTTTCCTGAAGTGACAATCCTGTTTTCACAGAGAGAGATGGGAAGCAGGGGCAAAAGGCAGTCAAATCTTGCTGACCTGATGTCTGGCTCCTCACATCTATTTTTAGGTGGAGCCTGAGGTTGCTTTATACTCAGTAGCAGATTCTGGAAAGCAATTGTTTTGTGTCAATCTATAGATTAATTATATAAACTGCTAGTTTAAGCAAGAAATAAAGTTTGTGGTTTATACTTTTCTTTCCCATTGTAATCTTTTTCAACTTTGATAATCTTTTTCTTTGCAGTGCTTCTTCTAGCATTTAATTGATCTGTGGACTTTTTAAACCTCAGGCACCTCCTTCCTGAACTTTGTAAATTGCTATTATTGGCCTGGTTACCTTTCCTTATTTCCTACAATACAGTTGCCAGAACAGACTTATTTTACTTTTATGTGATCATTTCAAAATCATCTGATGTGCCTTGAGTCAAAGAGAATGAGAGATGTTCCTTCAGTGAAACAGGTCATTCAGTCTATTTGCAAGACTGGCAGGCTCCCAGGACTTCCTCTTTTTTTTTCACTTGGGATGTACTACCTCCAAGAAAGACATAACTTGACCACATAACATTCCAGAGTAAGATAGCATTGCTGCTGGGGAGAAAAAGTAATTCTCCATTAAATGAGGTCAGTAGTCCCTATTCCCAGTATCTCTACTATACCTTGAGATTTTTTTTTGTGTGTGTCATTGTAGCTCCTGTTTAAATCAGAAAGAGACAAGGGAGGTAAGAAAGAGAGGTTATTCTATAAATCTATAAAATGATATTCTATTTATCTCTCCCTATGGCAGTGCACCTGCTAAGTTCTTCTGTCTTTAATTGAGAAGGCATGATGTCCTTTCAATATGCTTGATCTACTGGCAAATAATTTCCATTGAGACCATTCCTGAAGCAGCCCAGCTGACATACACCTGTTCTTTATTGGTGGAACATGAAGATTTTAAGCTTAGGTGACTTAATATGATATGATTTGGGAGAGAAAATGTGCATTCAAGGGCAGGCTGGATGTGTCTCTGGGCAGTGGATGTGTCTCTGGGCAGCCTGGTCTGGTGGTTGGTGACCCCACACGTAGTAGGGGGTTTGAAACTGGATGATCATTGTGGTCCTTTTCAACTCAGGCCATTATATAATTCTATGATTCTATCTTTTCTTTATCAGTGGTTAAAATCTGGGATTCTCACAAGTTCAATTCCCACCTGGAAAACATGGATAAAACACCTCAAAGTAAAGACCTCAACCTAATGTTGAGACGATGAATTTTTTATATGTAAGGTGACTGCCATAATGCAAGAAACTTAGAGCTGAGATGAATTGACTGACCTTTTAAAATCTTAAATGTTTGTTCTTCATCATATTAAAAATAAATATCTCCTCTGTGTCATAATTTGTTTTATAGATTTGAGGGAAACTCCTTTAAAGGGAATCCCATTTTACCTAGGTGAGTAAAGAGGATGACAACTTTCTAAAAAAAATCATCAGTGTAGTTGCATTTTCCATCTTTTATCTTTTATCCATTGCTACCTGTTTCTTAACAAATGTTGAAGGACATATCTTTTCTTGCTATAACATTTAGAGATTTTTGCCTTGGGCAGATTATCTGTCTTATGATTTTCACCAAAGTCATTGTAAGTATTTCTTTTCAGTCCTTTAAATTTATATTTCCTGCTGAGGGAAAATACTATTCCTGAGTAGCAGATAAACTATATGTATTATAATATTCAAAATAATATATTTCACTTGAGTTTAATTATATTTAATCAGGCATATCTATTGTACACACAAATAAATGTGTTCTTCTTCTGGTTTTCTTACTACTCTGTTGAATTCAACTCACATATCATTGTTTTATCTTATTCTGTTTTCTGTAAGGAGGGCTCATTTTTGTCTTACTGCCTGTACAGTATTATATAAACAACAGCTCATACAAATGATTCAGGTGTTATGAGAGAAACAAAAAGCAAAAAAACAAGAGCAGAGAGAAATAATTATTTTTTCGTACTGGTACACCTTTAAAAAGGTACAGTCTTGCTAAATAATGGGAAATGCAACTACCTGCCTCATTAAGGATTTCAGGAATTCACCACAATGCCCAAGTTGAGAGTAGCACACCTGCTACTGCTGTGCCAGTTGCTGCAGTTGCTACAACAGACGTAACGGGGTTATTCTTAAGCCTTCAGCATGAAAGTATGCTTAGCATTTTAAAAATATTTTGTTTTGATTAGTGAGGGGGTTTTGTAAGAAAGTGCTATAGAAATCTAAGGCATAGAAAAATCTTTTAAATCACCAGTGCTCAAACATATGTAATGCAAGCAGGCTTTAAACTCTCACAAACCAATGATACTTCCTGCTGTGATGACCTGTCCAGTGGCACAATTTAAGTGGATTTTTTTTTCTTGTTTATGATCTCTTATTTGTTCTATTACAGTTCAAAGCTATGTTCTATAATTTCAGACAGCTCCAGCAACTTTCATCTTCAGGACCTGTTATGCTTTACTTAATTAAGTAAAGGACAGGTTTTGGGATCTAGAGTTTGGGCATAAAGGTTTATGTTAACTCTTATTGAGAAGATCTGATCTGAGATGTCATGTGATGTTATTCTTTTTTTGATTCTTATTTTGATCTCAATTAAACAAAAATTTGCCCTTAAAAACCAAATAAAGATGAATTTTTCCTAATTGTAATCACATAAAATTAATCACTAATTCTTACTATAAAGTATCTCTTTTGCAGAAATTTTATTTTATATAGTCTGAATATGCAAAAAATTACTGTGAATGCACAATATATTTTCAGATTGATGAATATGAACTCTGAGTATATATATTACGATCATGAAGTTATATATACATATAATAGAATCATATAAAGTATTTTTAGACTTTCAAACAAAACAGAACCACACTGGTTTGAAGAATATCATCACAAAACCACAATGTGGAAATAATGATCTGCTTTAAATATGCTTTAATCTACTTCAGAAGCCAAGATTGAGTAGATCCACTTTTCAAGAGCTCCCTTCACAGGAGGCTCATCATCTTCTAAAGATCAGTCTTCACAAAATATATAGATATATATGTAAGCAGAAACTACTGTGTAATATATATAGTAGTTTACAAATAGTGTTGGATACATATAAACACTAAGTAGGGAACTCTTATATTTGCTCATCCTTTTGTTGCATATCCACTATTGAGAGAAAGAAAGTAAGAGAAGTAGCATTTTATTTTAGCAATAACTTTCAGAAACTATCTGCCTAAATCTGTTGATTTGACACACAGCAAATGTTAATAGTGAAGGGAAAGGAAAGCAAGTATCTATTGCAGAACGTGTGCTGGCAGAAAGTTGTGTAGCCTCAATTTGTCTGCCACCACTGAAAGGATTCCTCTGCTACACGGCTCTAAAATGCTAACCTTGAGGGTAACATGTTAAACAAGCTTGTGATCATATTCAAAAGGTGCTTTTCAGAATCTGTCTTCATGGTTCAGAAGATCATTTTAAAGCAGTAGTGGTAATGCTACTTGAGAATAGAAACTCTTATCCAGTGAGATATTAAAATCGCTTTACATTTTTTTTTTTTTTTGTCATGAATTTGGCTGAAATGAAAGGAAGATGCTGAATTCAGAAAAACAGTGATTAGAAAATGTTAAAATATAGCTATGCATTTAGCTGCAACACACAAATGAAGACTATTTATATTCCAGTTTTAAGGAGATTTATTTTCAGTTGTCAAAAATCATCAGAACAATGTATTCAGCTGTCTTTGATGTGAGTCTGAATCTCTCTGTGTTGTCTCATAGAAGCTGTGGATCAAGCAGCTCACTGAGTGAGCTGGCCTCCTCAGCTGGACTGCCTGTTAGTCTTCGCTGAACGAAAACTGCTCACCTCACTGTGAAAGACGCAGCACAAAAGCTTGACGTAGACTTGATTCCCTCAGTGTGACCTCTTGTATTACCCGAGCAGATGGATGTCTCATTTCTGGATTCTGATCATGCTTAGGTATGGTAAAGTTACTTAATTTCTCATTCTTACCAAGATTAGCAGAATATTCAGACACACTTAATACCTGTGAACTTTAAAAATAAGATTAGTCCTTCAGATTAATATGGAGGTTGTATTTATTTATTTATTTTTAAGTATCATAGTTTGTTGCATACTATAGTTTAGGGCAAAAATTTCAGTGTATGCATCTAGTTCTCTCTTCATATGATCCTGGATTCCTTATATGAGCTACCAAATAATTATTGCCTAACCCCGAGGTTAACCAGTTCCAGAAGGAAGACTTCAGAATCAAAGAAGTAATTAGGAAGCATAATTCATTGTCTCTTTTTCATCATTCATTCATCCTTCAGATGGGGGCAGTAATGACTGCTAGTGGTAGAGGGCTGTTGGAAATTTAAGTTAACATTCATACAATGTTTGGAATATATAAGAAATTGATTTGACAAGCTTTGTTTAGGCAGCAGATGAAATGTGCAGATACATTCATTTTAAGGTGCCCTTCTGCATTACTAAAGTGTAACATTTCATATGCTGACATTTATGTAGGAAAGGAAACATGTATATGGATGTAATAGAGCTGCCTTCTCTTCTGAGAACCTATTTATTCACCTCTTGCAGGGGAAAGAAGTAGAAGACAGAAGGGTGTTTGGGCTGAGGAAGCAGTTGTCAGCCAATTCTGGAAGGTGAATGGAAGCTAAAATCAATCAGCTAAGAAATATACTTAAATGTTACATTCAATCTGGTATCTGTGCTTGTAGAAAGTGAAACAGGCTCTAGGAGAAATTGCTGACGAGTCACTGGCAACTGCAGTGACCCTAATCTCACTGGAAGATTACCCTCTGTTGGGTAGAGCAGCACAGATCAAAGGGTATAAAGGGGTTCAGTTTGTAACCAGAGTGCTGGAAAGTCAAGGGGATTTTGTATGTGTGTGTGTTTGTGCTTGTATGTATGCATGTATATAGAACAGAAAAGGAAAAATTTCTTTCAGGATATAGTGAAAGGCAAGTGATTAATGATTTAAGATTCTTTTCACACTGCAGTAAAAATTAATTAAAGATGTGCTGCCTTCAGGCAATTCTATGCTTACAGTGATAAATATGGAAATGTGCTGCATTTTGCAGGATAAAAACCATTGTCTTTACAACACACAGAAATGAATTGTATCCACATCAAGTTTTATGTAAACACTCTGAAATTTAATTGGTAAGGGTTCAGCTGAATGTCTCCTTTTGATTAAAGAAAAGCTGGTGGTGGCATCTCTGATAGCAAATGTATTTTCTCAAGAAAAAACGGAAAGAAAAGATTTTTGTCAACTCTGGACAAATAAGGTGGAGAAGAAGGATCAACAAATACTTTTAGTAGCAAAATATGTTACAATTGTGATGAATGTATGGTTAGGTATTTTTGGTTTTATTTATTAAACTTAATGTCTGACATGCAAACCCTGAATCTTTCACCACAAATAGTCACTCAGTCCATTCTTCTTTTGGTTCTTATAAAATGAACTACAAGAGTAATCTTCCTTTTTATTGGCACAGAGATGTAATTCATTTCTTCAAATCCCTCCAGTGACTATCTATTATTTTATTAAATAGAACCTTTCATTACTGGCTTCAAACTGCCACATAACAGTAAACATAAATATTCCTCTCTTCTGTTCCTTTCTTTTCTTGTAGTTGCATCTTAGGGGTGCCAGAAGATTCCTGGTCCTTTTCTGCTGGACACATCTTCTGCAAAGCAGCTGTGGGAAGCTGGCTTAGGACCTTCTGCAGACTACAGCTCTCATCTCTGCCTCTGCTTATCCTTTCAGATCAACCTCTGTCATGCTGCTAGAAGTGACTTGTTCAAAAGGTGCCTTTCATCTGCTTTCTGCTTGCTCCCCTGTTCTTCAGGTTCAGAAAGCCTGCTGCAGGTCAGAAAGATGCTAAAATTAAAACAAAACAAAACAAAAAACTAAACAGACACACCCATCTAGAAAATTTTCTTTATTAGGAACCTGGTATGCCCCAGCTACTCCCATTGAGAAATATTTTAACACTGCTACTGATTTACTGTTGAGTGTATGTGTGTGTAAATCTCACTATGGCACATGCACCAGAGAATTTAATTGGCTAAATGAGAATAGAAACATTCTGAGAAATACTTTTTTGCTTCTTCAGGACTCTGAGGATAAAGGGAAGAAAATGGAAAGCTGAATGTATTGGGGAACTAAGTATGTAGCTGCATGGTGGAAACGGGTTAGTCAGAAAATTATGTAGAACCAGCAGTTGGGTGGGGAGCTGCCTCCATGCCCTGCTGCGCTTGTGCATTCTTGTTTTGAGTGACCAATACTTGTGATCCTATTGTGTTTATCATTCTATCAAAAGAGATTTCAGAACAGTACAAAGGCAGTGTAACTCTAATGGCACCAGCGGAGGTCACCAGCTGAAAGATTTGTCCAATCTGTCCAATTATGAAAATTCTTAGGATGTAGAGAGAAAGATGCAAATAAAGCCAAACTTAGATATCATTTTTGATATGAAAGAAAATTATCCTGCAATATGGGTAAAGATGATAAGGTACTAAAAATTCTAGAAAACTGACAGATGACTTTTTAGCACGTCTGAGGATGAATGTTTTGATGTAGGCGTAATGTGCTAATGAATTAGCCTTTCAAATTCAAATGGAGCAAATCTGGCTCATTCTAGTCCTAGAGCATGGAAAGTATTTGTTCAGGCCTAAAATCCATCATATGCTTTAGCAAATATGTGGTAGGAGCTGAAATTTCCACTTGGTCAATGCAAAGCTGTAATAGCACGTACAATTTTGATACAGCTTTCCATAGAGCTTTTAAAGAAAACGAGTGGATTCTTGCGTAGTTTAGGGTCATATTTTGCCTAGTTTCAATAAGTGTTGCTGATGCTTGGACAAAAAATAAATCCAGTTAGAAAGGGATGAGAGCATGAGGCAAATTTGCTGGAGTATGTTGAACTAGGTTACAGGAGGCATTTAGCCAAAACAAGTTGATGAGTTATGTGCCCTTGAGACACATGCACAGTTGCCCAGCAGATTTTCCCCATCCATTGAGAGTGAAGCTAGTCAGTCCTTGAAAATCCTGTTACAAATCTTACAGACCACTGGATGAGCACACCAAGTTTTCTCAGCTTTAAAAACAGAAACATTGAAATCAAAATCAAGATTTTCTATGTACAAAAGGAAATTAAAAGTGCTGGGAAACTACACAGGGTTATCATGGAACCCTTTTCGATGGAACATGGTGGAAACTCTTCATCCAGCATTCATCATCCTCAGTTATTGCCTGCAGCAATAGTAGTTCATGAGCTCCATATATCCATATATCTTAACAAGAACATTTCCCGTGCCTGCTCTGCAGTTTGCATTCAGTTTTGTCTGAGCCTCTGTAATATAAAGAAGAGCACTGAGATAATGTAGGTTAAGAAGAAACACTTCTTTAAACAAGTAGCAGAAGTGAGAAATGTTATTGGGTATAAGTGCTTACAGTAGCAAGGGAACTGTGAATTGCCTTAAATGGCCAGCAGCAGTTCAGCCGCATGGAAGCAGGGGGAATGAGTATTTGTATTTGCAGGCAGTAATTACAGCTGCTGCACATTCTCCACTCTAGAGAAATTAGGTTGCTTCTGATTTAAACTGTAGTTTCATTATACAAAGTGTTGGGTCCCAGTGCTGGTTTTCCTCTCATTCTTCCTTGTTCACTTTGCACCTTCGTGCTGTGTCAGTGCAAATCCTTGCTCATCGGTGAGTTGAACTGGGCATTAGAGAACTATTCTGACATGAAAAAAAAAAAACAAAAAACAAACCAAAACAACAACAACAACAAAAAACAAAATAAAACACAGAGAAAAGACAGATTACTTCTATGCCTAAGACAGATGCAATGTGAGAAATGAGGGATGAATATACAGGATGAAATTATCACAGCCATCCCTTTCAGTGTTGGCAAACTTGGTCTTTCTACTTGTGCCTAGCAATCAGCCATACCCTGTGCCTAGCATACAGCTATACTCTGTGCTCTGCACAGACATAATGGAGTCGTGGAACAAGCAGTATAGAAAAGCATACTATCCATCAATTCCATCCTTTCTGCTAAGCATATTGTCACTAAACATTAATAAAATCTTATTGTTACTTGGCTTTAAACCTCCAACATAAGCAGTGCTATGCCACTAGAAAGAACAAATCTTTTTAAGAAAAAAGCATTACCTTTTATATTTTCCCTTAAAGGAGAAATATTTCACTATTTTACTGATCTCTAAGAATTTATTTCAATAAATTGTTTATAAACATTAAAAGAAATGGAGTGTAGTTTATGGGATTTAAACATACATTTTATTATTTGTTAACAGGATTTAGCTTCTCCATGCTGCTTCAAACATTCCTCTTGAATATACTTTCCTTAAGTTCTGTGTCTTGAAAGAATTCTAAAATAAGTCTTTCTTACCTGAGCTGGGCTTTGTCAAATATTCAGCAAGAAGACGTGATTTCAGTTAAAGTATTAAGCAGCTGTATAAACATTGTACTATTTGCTAAAAATCAACTTCAGTGAATGTCTTCTAGTTAGATTATTATTACTCATGAATATTTCAGTTATAAATTTAAAAAATATAAGAGTCAAGCTACAAAGAAAGCACTTATAACTTAATTTCCCCTTGACTGGCCTCATCATGCATTCAGCAACAAATTATTTCTTTTCTTGCCACCAGCATGATGCTTGCTGGTGCTAAGTGCCAATACATAGCTTATAGGCTGAAAGGTTAATAAACGATGCACACTGTACCATTTGCATTTGTGTTCTTTATATCTACAGTAAAATATTTATCTTTTTCATACATAGGAAAACCCACAAACATTTATTTATTTTATTGGCAGATTAGCCATTTGTTTTTGAAATGCAAGATGCTTATTTTTCACTTTATTGCACTGCTTTAATATTTTACTCTTGATAGGAATGGAGTAAGAGAGGTCAATAATAA